TCCTGCTGCCCCTCTTCCCATCCCAATGTACCTCAGTCCCTCATCCCCCTACCCCCACTGGAAGACCAAGTCCCTGGACCCCATCTACTCTCTTACTTCCGCCGTCTCCTTCTAATCTCTCTGAACCGCAAGCATTCATTTCTGTCCCCCAAAGACCTCTTCTCACTCTTCTTTTTCCACTCTGTCGGGTCCCAAGAAGCTCTGGGGCTTGAGACCCAGGAAGGGTCAGGGGTGGCCTGGAGGAGGGCATTTTTCCTGGGGGCTGTAGGGGACAGGAGTAGGAGGCTGGACTGGGATCAGCTCTGGACTTTGTTCCTGGCTAGCAGCTCGGGAGGAGTGGAGACAAAGTCCCATCGCATGTGCCTCTGGCCGGGGAGAGAGCTTGAGTCCAGTGATCCTCTGCTGGGTGGAGTGATGTTGATAAGGAGGCTGTATGTAGAACGATGCGGGCCAGGCTTGGAGGTCAAAAGGCTCCTGTCTGAATACGGGCACCACCAAGAACAGGCTGTGTGACTTCAGGCAAGTCACCTGACTTCTCAGAGCCTCCTTTCCTTGCATCCGTAAAATGACAATAAAAGCTCCCTGCTCACAAGGTTGTGGGGAGGACGAATGACAGGATGCATGGAGGTGCCCGCTCTGTGAGCTCTCTGCATTTTCACTGGACTTCTTCCCCAGGTCTGACTTCGTCCCTGGTTTGCTGCTTCTTTTGGCCCTGCATACCTGGTCCCTTTGGCTAGGCAGTGGAAGTAGCTGTTGGGGGTCCAAACAAGCTCTTGGTTTTAGAAATGACTCAGAGCCTGGGTTCATGTCCCATTCCTGCCACCTGCTAGCTGTGTGACCTCAGACAAGATGCTTAGCCTCACTGTGTTTCTGTTTTCTTATTAATAAAGTGAAAACTTTATTAATAAGAAAGTGCCTGTCCTTGGCTTGCGATGAGGATTAAATGAGATAATCCATGTGGAGTGCCTGGCACACCAGGACCGCCCAGGGGTGGTTACACTGATGTTGATCCCTCGCATTGGTCTATCCAGCTCTGAGCCTTCCCCAGGTTCCAGCTCCATTTTTGGAAGTTCTGTGTGTCCATCTCCACCTGAACACCTCCCCACCATGCCAAACTCAGTCTTCCCCCTACACCATCTCCATTCTGTTCATGCCTCACCATCCTGCTACCCACACTGTGATGACGCCCGATGTTTAGCTCAGAAGGTCTGGTGCTGGGATCACTGAGCCGTGGGAATTAAGTCGTCAAGGGGGTGAGGCGTAGGCTGAGGAACTGGTGGAAAGCAGGGGCAAGGACAGAACATGGGCAGGGTGGTGGGCAAAGGCGGAGAGGTCAGACTTGGCCAATGTGTGAGCGGGGTGGGACCACACGTGGACGTGGGGTGATGTTCAGGTGGTGTCCCTTTTTTCTTACAGCCTTGAGAGGGACACCCTCCTATTGCACTTCACCCTGGCTCACTGCTTCTTGCCCAGCTGTTGCAACAGCCTCCCAACTTATATCTTTCAGGAACCCTAGGCACAATTTAAATATTTAAACTTCAAAGTGCGTTTTTGATCATATGACTGATAAAAAATTTTAGTGATTTCCCATTGCCTACTGATCAAAACCCTCTTTCCTGTCATTCAAAGCCTGCTCGGTCTGGCCCCATCGTACCATTCAGCTCTCTGTCTTGCTACTCTCTAACTGCTCTGAAATTCTGTAGAAAAAAGAGTCCCCAGCCCTGGGGCCACAGACCAGTACTGGACTGTGGCCTGTTAGGAGCTGGGCTGCACAGCAGGAGGCAAGCGAGCGAAGCTTCATCTGTGTTTGCAGCCGCTCCCCAGCGCTAGCATCACCGCCTCAGCTCCACCTCAGATCATCAGGCATTGGATTCTCATAAGAGCACAGGTCCCTGGTGCCAAAAAGGTTGGGGACCGCTGCTGTAGATCCTCTTAGCACTTATGTGATGGGCAATCACATTTGGTCCTATTTGGAGGTCATTTCTCTTCTCTAGGAAGAGAAGGGGAAAGAGAAGAATATTAATCTGGAAACTGCAGTGCTAATCAGCCTGTGTCTCCATCTGGTATTTGCCAAATGGATCGACAATTAAATAGAGCCACCGGAGTCAGACGCCTGGGTTCAAAGATGCCTGCTCGGACACTTTATGCGAATCACCTCATTCCCTCCTCACTGCAGTCCTGTGATTTCCTCGTGAAACTGATTCAGAGAGGTTAGCAAACTGCATGGGGTTACCCAGCATAAGGGTGGTGGAGCTGGGACTCAAACCCACGCGTGCCTGACTCCTAGTCCAGGCTGTTCCTACTACACCAGGGACAGCCCTGGAACCTTGACTGTGGCTTGCAAAACTCTGTGACTATTCACTTAATAAACGTAATTTAAAAATATAATTTTGTGTTAAGTTAAATGGCAGCGTGGTGAGGTGGGGGAATTAGAACACTCCGGAGCCCCTCTGCCTGGGCTTATGTTCCCGACTTCACATTCCCCAGCTATGTGAACTTTGAGCAAGTTACTTGCCCTTTTAGTGCCTCGGTTTCCAATCTGTAAAATGGGGATAATAATAGTATTCCCATAGGGTTGTTGTGAGGATTAAATGTGTTACTATATCTAAAATGCTTCAAACAGTGCCTAGGAAAGATGGTTAGTTGTCATTATTATTATTACACATTACGTCATTCCCGCTTCTATTATAGACAAGTTGTAGATGTCCCAGAGTTTTAAGAAAAATTTAAAAAGTCAAAATCTTTAAAATTGACAACTTCCGAGTTAATTTTTTCCTGTGAATTGAGAGAAACCATCATTACCTGGTTTTGGCTGGGAGACTATCAGCCTCATATAACACGACTGTTGCTGCAAGCACAGGCCACAACATTACATATACCATTAAGAACAAAGACTTGTATTTATTTTAGGTCCACTCGAAGAGCCTCCCTTTGTGCCCAGCCATCACAGTCATGGACAGGTGCCTGTTAATGACTGAAGGTGAGCTGAGGGGATGGAAGCTCTGCTCCCTTCCCGCAAGGAGGCACTGCCCAGTTAGGGCAGCATAGAAACAGTTGGCAAGACCAGCCGAAGTGCCAGTGGGGAATATCTTCATATATTGTGCCAAATCTTTGGTTTATTTGTATCCTTTTACATAATTTGTATAGAGAGAAGTACAGGAACTATCCCAAGATGCTTTTTGTATACACTCTCAGAAAAAGAGATTCAATTTTAATAAAACTCTGGACAGTCAACTCAGAAAGTATCGCCTTGAGACAGCAATGTTACATCCCACAGGGTAAAATTATAATCTCTGAAGGCCCGGCATTTTGAGAGATCTCATACATAACAACTGCAAGGGTAGAAAGCGGGACACAGTGTTACAGCCGAGTAGCAGCTTTTCCCAAGCCTTCTGCACCAGCCTTCCCCAGGCAGCTGCAGAAACGGCCCTCTCCTCCCAAGTTCCTTCCACTCATACCTGCGCATTAGGAAGCCTGTGTTTTCAAGGCCACCGCAGGGAATCCCTTTCGTTGGAAATGCAGGAGAGTTGGGGCCAGACGTTCCTTATTTATTTTTCACAAGCTGAATGTGGAGTGCTTAACATTCTGCCTCTACAATAAGCAGTTGGAACAACCGACCTCCAAGAAAGGGACAAGAGAATGGCTCCCCGCTGGCGGGGTGGGGGAGGGCGGCAAGGTTCTACAGTGGAGGCTCTACAAGCACCAGCTGTGAAGGAGGAAGAGCTGGGCCCGCATAGATCATTTGCCAGCTTTATCATTTTCTACCTCTGCCCTTTAAGTAATTTCCCTTTACATCTCTGAGCCTTGGTTCTCCATCTATAAACACAGATGATCTCTACCTAGGATTCGTGACTGTGCAGCAAGTGCCTGGCATGCCATGGGCACCAGTGGACGGCAGCTTTCCTTCTCTTCCAGCAATTCTGAAGCTCTCAGCTCTGCTACAAACTAGAATTATGTTACCACATTCCACAGCAGTTATATCAGAATTTTAGGGAGTGGGGCACAGACATCAGCATTTTGCAAAGCTCCCCAGACAATTTCATTGTGCAGCCAAAGTCGAGAACCACTGCTCTACCCATTCTTTTTTTTAAATTAATTAATTTTTTATGGAGACATTGGTTAACAAAATCTAGTAAGTTTCAGTTGTGCACTTTAACACTGGGATTGCAGAATGGGTCCTGCCTTTCAGCAGAGCGTTGATTATTATTTGCTTAAATGAACAATTCAATGATTTTTAGTAAATTTACTGAGTTGTACAGCTATCACTATAGACCCTTTCCATAACCCCATTAAGATCTCATGCTGTTTCGAGTTCATTCCTAGTCCAAGGCATACACGATTCTGATGTCTGTCTCTCGATTTGCCTTTTCTGGGTGTTTCATATAAAGGGAGGCATGCAGTCTGTGGTCTTGTGTGAGCGTTGGTTCTTAACTTTCACAAGCATCTGAGTCACGGAGGGAGCTCTTCCAAAACCATCCCTCACAGACCTTTATTAAGGTGGTCAGAATGGGCCAGAGCAGCAGAGATTCTGCAAAGCTCCCCAGATGACTCCAAGGTGCAGCCCAAGTGGAGGGCTCTGCTTTCTCACCTCTGTTGAAGGGAGTAGTCCGTGCTGACCGCCTCCACTTTCTCACCTCCCATATACTTCTTGACCATGACTGTATGGTTTCTGCCCCAACCACACAGAACCAAAACTGCTCTGTCAAAGGCCTCCCAGCCTTCTTTCGACTTGCTTCAGCTCACATTCCACTACTTGAAATCCAGATGCCCACTTCCTCCTGGGGCTCCTTCTCTCTTTGACAGCCACACTTCTGTGTGTCCTTTAAATACTGGTGTTTCCCAGAGCCTCCTCTTCTTCTCCGATCCTGCCCACTGCTATGCTCAGTCACCATCTATATACAGCAGTGGCTCCAACATCTCCATCCCTCATCCTAATATCTCTTCTGAACTCCAGGACCATTCTTCTGCCCTCCGTGTTTTCTGCTGGCACCTCAACCTTAGCATCTACAAAACCAAAGTCATCTTTTTCCCCAGCTCTGCTGCTTATAAGCGGTGTCACCAGGGCATGCTCTGGGAACCTCCTTGGGATCTAGTTTCTGTACTTGTAAAATGGGAAGATGCCCTGTAGTGAGTTTCAGGTGAGAGAGCATTATAAGAGAACTGCGGTGGCCATGGCTGCCACACCATAGGCGGTATAGATTGCTGCCTTCTGCTGTCCCCATCCTCCGCCCCAACCTACTTCTTCTTATGTCAGTTTTCAGCTACCCGGGATGGAAACCCAAGGTTACTACATTTTACTAGTTGCTAATTCTGGCAGATCCTACCTCCGGAACAATTCTCTCCTTGACCCCTGTTTGCTCTACCTACAGCTACTGCCCAGGTTCAGGGTTTCATCACCTTTTGTCTGGCCAGTGGCTTCGGCCTCCCTTTGCCTCCCAACCCATCTCCAGTCAGTGGCTGAAGCAACCTTTCTAGAAAAAAAATCGTAATTATATAACTTCCTTGCTTAAAATTCTGTATGGCTCCTAGGATCTGTCCGAACTTCTCAGCTAAATAGTTTAGGCCTTTTTCACTCTGGCCTCACCCTCCACCATTTCTCCTGTGAGCCCTACTCAGCCCTCCCTCCCATCTTCTCTCCGTTTTCTTGTGTTTGAGCCTTGAACACCTGCTCTTTCAGCCTGAAGTGTCTTGCCCTCTCTCCTACCCACCCTACACCTCTGCCCGGCAAACATTACTCATTCTTCAAGGCCATCAGAACTACCACCCCCTTCTTCAGGGACACTTAGTCATTTCTTCCTCTACGCTCCCACCACCCTTGGTAAATGCTTCAGTCATCCCTTTAGCAAACATGCCTACTATGTGCCAGGAAGTGTTCCTGAGCACTTTGCAAATATTAACTCAGTTAATTTTTGTAACAACCCTATGAAGTAATTATTATCATTATGCCTGTTGCAGAGGAAGAAACTAAGGCCCCAGAGAGATTGAGTCACTGGCCTAAGATCAGTTAGCTAAAAGGTGGCAGAGCCAGTGTTGAAACCCCGGCCATGTGGAACAGAGTCAGGGCTCTGATTCGTTCTGCTGTGTGGCCTCTCTGCTTGGATAAGTATCATTGAACACTTAGTATTAAGCTAAACAATATGAAATTGCCAACATTTGACCATGTTTGACCAATAAAAGCAGCACATTCATATGGTTCAGTGTGCTAGGCCCCTGGGATGCAGCAGGAAACTCTTTGGACAGACACATCTGTGCCTCCAGAGAGGAAACAGGAGTAGAGTGCGATTACGAGGGAAGAACAGGGGATGAGTGAGCAGTGACCTGATTCAGGGGGTCTGTGAGAGCCCCCTGCTGAAGAGGTGATGTCGAAGAGAAGACCCAAAAGAGAACTGAGGGGTGATGGGGAGTTGGCGGGGGCTGGGGGATGGGGTGAAGTAAGGGAGTTGCAGGCAGAGGCGCAACCCTGAGACAGCACAGGCTAAGGCCTGAAAGCTAAGAGAAAGAGCTGTCCGCTCTGTCACCCCAAAAGATGTACCTGGCACCAAGCAGGTGCCAATAAAGGTTTGTCGAAAGAATAAATGAAAACTGGAAAGAAGTTGGGAGGCCTGAAGCTCATACAATGAAAGTGGAATTTTAAACAGGAGAGTGATCCACTCGGAATTTATTTGTTTATTGTTTTATTTTAAAGCCACGTCTAGTGGGGTATAATTATAGACAGTAAAATTCACCCTTTTCTGTGTGAAGTCCTGTGAGTCTTGACAGGTGCCTGGGTCATGTAGCCACCATCACAGACAAGATCTAGAACAGTCTAGTCACTTCTAAAAACTCCGTGGTGCTGTCAGTTTGCGGCCAGCCCCACTCCCGCCCCCAGGCAAACATTGGTTTCTTCTCTGTAGTTGTTGGTTTGCCTTTTCCAAAATGTCATATGGATGGGCTCAAATGGGATGTAGCCCTTTAAATCTGGTTTCTTTACTTAGAACAATACATTTGAGATACATCCTTACTGTGTGTATCAGTAGCCGGTTCCTTTCTTTATTGCCAAGTTAGAATTCCATTGCATAGATGTGACAGTTTGTTTATCTGACTCTCAGCAGTTGAAGGATTTGAATTCGATTTAAAAAGCAAACATGAGTGCACAGAGGCTGAATGAGTGGGGGCCTCTGCATCGCTGCTGTTTGTTCCTGGGTCTTTTACTTGGCGGGACCGCAGACAGTGAGGATAGGGACTACGCCTTTGTCCCTCTTGCTGACTTCGTTCCCAGCACCCAGCCAGGGCACAGCTGGCTCTGAGTGAGGAACCTGACCCTCTTTCCCCACACTTGGGACACTTGGGACAGCGTGGGAGAGAATGTGGGGAAAGAGGTCAGGTTCAACCACAGGACTGCGGCTGAGGGTGGGGGTGGGGAGGTGAAGACTGGGTGCTTTGGGGAAGAAGGGCTGCACAAGAGAGTAGAGCAAGCCAGTGTCTGGCATCAACTTCAACCTGGAGCAAAAGTGAGGTTAACAAAGCCCAACTCAACTCCACCCAAGCCCCTCACATGCTGTAGAATTGCGTCCCCATCCCTGGGAAGGCTCCCGTGAGGCCGCAGGTCTTCTTTTGGCCGACAGATGGCCTTGTTGCATCGTGTCTGAGCTCAGCCTCAGCGGGTCACCCAATTCATTCAACTGGCGTGAGGGGCACGGTGACCGATACACATGAGCAGGAAGGACGTTAGGGACCACCATGTCCATCACTCCTATTTTACAGGCAAGGACTCGCCTGCACTCCTGAAGCTGTGTCCCACAGAAGAGAGGCTCTAACCCAGTTTCCCCATGCTTTTCCTTGTACAGCCCCCATCTGTAGAGACATGGCAGTTTGCTGAAACATCAGGTGTGGGAGGCGTCTCTAAGCTAGAGGGCAAAGGCAGAGGGACAGGCAGCCAGGACCACAAGGCCTAGTTTGTCTGACTCTGCCACCAGTTTGCTGTGTGACCGCAGCCTGCTTGCCTTTCCTCTCTGCTCCTCAGTTTCCACCTGTAAAAAAGCTAAACTTCCAGCTTTAAAATAGTTGGTGTGTCTATGGCCATGCCACCCTGAATGTTCCCGATCCCATCTGATCTCAGAAGTTAAGCAGGGTCGGGCCTGGTTAGTACTTGGATGGGAGACCACCTAGGAAGACCAGGTGCTGTAGTTGTTAAAAAAAAACAAAAACATATATATATATATATTTGGTGCTATGGAGAAGACTGGGATGAAAAAGACACACAGCTCAGATTCTACTGGGGGCTTCAACTCCTAAATAACTAATCTTTCTACGCAAGGCAGACTGGAAAGTCTTCAGGGCGACTCTCAGGTGGTGTCGCTTCTCTCGTAGTTGGTCAATAGCTGTTGATACAGCACCAGGTCTGCCAGGAAAAATGTAGGACAGTTAAAATTTGTTTCAGATAACCAACAGATAATTTTAAAGTATATGTATGTTCTGAGTATCACCTAGGATATATTTATACTTAAAAAATCTTTGATGTTTGTCAGAGATTTAAATTTAACTAGGTGTCCTGTATTTTTATTTGCTCAGTTTGGCAACCTGACCAGCCCGCAGGGCCCACCCTGCACCCCAGCCATTCTTTCAGGACCTCCAGATCTTCAGCCTTATTGGCTAGTGCCCAATTTAGCTGGTAGTTAAATCCAGTTGACCCTGGAACAACATGGGTTTGAACTGCACAGGTCCATGTATGCAGATTTTTTTTCAATAAATACTTGTCTTTTTTAAAAAAATACCTATACTATTTTTGATCTATGGTTGGGAGTTTGTGGATGCGGAGGGCCAGCTGTATGCATTGATTTGTGCCATTTTATGTAGGGGATTTGAGCATCTGTGAGTTTTGGTATTGGTGGAGGGGTCCTGGAACCAATTCCCCACTGATACCAAAGGACAACTAATTTTGGGAGGGAGTCAAAGTTCTATAGGGATTTTAGATTGCGTGGGGTTGCCACCCCTAACTCCTACATTGTTCAAGGTCAACTGTATTTTGACAGTCTCCCCTGACTACAAGAGAGGCAGCCAAAACGTAACATTGCTCTCTCTCTTTCTCACAGACCTGGCGCTCCTGCTGCCCCCTGCCACTCTGGCTGCCCTAGCAGATGGCTGGCTCCGAGAAGACTGTCCAGGCCTCAACTACGCAGCCTTGGTTACAGGGGCAGCCCCCTCGCAGGCCGTGCTGTGGGCCAAATCCCCCGGGGTACTGGCTGGGAGGCCTTTCTTTGATGCAGTCTTTGCCCGAGTCAGTTGCCAGGTCTCCTGGTTCTTCCCTGAGGGATCAAAGCTGGTGCCTGTGGCCAAGGTGGCTGAGGTCCGGGGCCCTGCCCACTGCCTGCTGATGGGGGAGCGGGTGGCCCTTAACACATTGGCCCGCTGCAGCGGAGTTGCCAGCTCTGCAGCCGCTGCTGTGGAGGCCGCCAGGGGGACCGGCTGGGCAGGGCATGTGGCTGGCACGAGGAAGACCACACCAGGCTTCCGGCTGGTAGAGAAATACGGACTCCTAGTGGGTGGAGCCGCCTCCCACCGCTACGATCTGGGAGGGTTGGTGATGGTGAAGGACAACCATGTCGTGGCAGCTGGTGGTGTAAAAAAGGTGTGTGTCGGCTGAGCCCCTGCCCTGCCTCTACTCCAAGCCCCATCACAGCACTTCCCTCTATTAGAGACCCTGGTGAGGAGTGAGGGCCTGGGAGTTGGGGGGGTGAGACTCCTAGACCCTTCAGTCTCTCAGTCTGTAAAATGAGGGGTTGGACCTGCTCCTTTACAAGTGTTCTGCTGCTGCCTGGTGTGATGTTCAAGAGCAAAAGACGAACCATGGGGAGCCCAGTGTTGATGGTTCTACAACCTTGGGCATGTCTAAAAAGGTTCTTGAAGACCCCTTCCTGTTTAAATATTCTGCGTCAAAATGAACTCAGGTCTAATGCCAAACATCACTAGTTGGCCATTTTTTAGACCCACAAAAGTGGTAATTTCATGTGCTTTCACCTAATATGAAAGAAACCATTCCAATGCTTGGTTTCCTCATTAACTCAAAACTTGCTAACCACCTGGGCCTTTTGAACGCCAGCCCCAGCTCAGTGTGCTCCTAGTGCGGCTGTTCTCACGAGCACCTTTCTGGCCTGTCTGTCAGGCGGTGCAGCGGGCCCAGCAGGCGTCCGACTTCACTCTGAAGGTGGAAGTGGAGTGCAGCAGCCTGCAGGAGGCCTTGGAGGCGGCAGAGGCAGGAGCAGACCTTGTCTTGCTGGACAACTTCAGGCCGGAGGTGAGGGGGGTCTGCTTCCTGGGAAGGGGCCAGGTTGGGGGCTCTCACCTCCCCTTGGCTTGTGTCCTGCAGGAGCTGCACCCCACGGCTGAAGCGCTGAAGGCCCGGTTCCCGAGCGTGGGCGTGGAAGCCAGTGGGGGTATCACACTGGGCAACCTCCCTCAGTTCTGTGGGCCACACATCGATGTCATCTCTTTGGGGATGCTGACCCAGTCTGCCCCAGCCCTGGATTTCTCCCTCAAGCTGTTTGCTGACGGGGCCACTCCAGTGCCCTATGCCCGCCGATCCTAAAGCTATAGAGGATGACACTGGTTTTGGGGTAACATGGTTTCTCGGGATCCTCAAGGTTATATATATTTTAGGAATAGTGGCCAAGAGAACACCCTTAGTGTTCACCTGGGTTACAGTCCGGCTCTGCCGCTTACTGCTATGTGGCCCTGAAGGGCTGACTTCACCTCTGCCCACCTCAGTTTCCTAATCTATAAAATGAGTTAATAAATGGTCATCCTTCTGGATTTCTCTGGGTGATAATTAACACATAGTAAATGCTCAGTAAATGTTAGACATTATCATAGTTCATCTGTTCTAAGATGCATTTTTTTTTTCCACACACTGGCCACCTCTGAAGTCAAGGTGCGTCTCTAACCAATGATGTTTAATGGCTACTGTCAATCAAGCGTCAGCCGTCATGTAGCCTTCGTGGCCTGTGCATGCAGGTTATAGATATAACATGATAATCTACGTTGAAATAACTTCAAAAGAGCACTTTTTACAAGTATAAAATAGAAATGGTAAGTGATAAGAAAGCATTGGTCATATTTAATCAACAATTTTCTTTTGGAGTGATAGTATGAGTTTTATAATTAATGACATCTTATATTTGAGGATATGTGGCATCAGGTCTGATATTCAGCTAGCAGATTCCACTTGGTTGATGCCCCAATTGTACCAGTGATTAAGTCTTTACATCTCACCTCTGGCTACTGTTTTACCTCTTTGGTGGAGGTGAGAACCTGTCCATTCCTCACTTCTGGAGTCCCCAACAGACTTCACCATGCATCTTCCCCAAAATGAAAGACACCCCCCACTTGGTGTTGCAAGCTTTTTGGGGTCTGGTTCCATGGGGTTATCAGTGAGGAAAGGATGGTTGATATAGAGCAGCTGAGGCCAGAGCAAATGTCTGTTGAAGGAGTGAAGGATGGGGGTTTGGGGTCACATGTTCAGAGGTCAAACTTCCTTCCGTGCGAAGTCAGGACTCAGGGATCTAAGCAGTGAATCTAAATCCTGCTCTCCAAATACATACTAGAGTCCTCACTCAGCTGTGTGCCACTCCTACCTTCACCTCAAGCCTAAGGCTCACCTTTCTTTAACCCCTTCTGGTGTGGCTCCTGGAGGAACCAGGACATGAGGGCTCCCCAGGATGAAGGTGGTCCCCGAGGTGACCCTTTCCAGAAGGGCTCCAGTCTGGAGATGCCTTTCTCCTCCCAGAACCCATTCTCTTCTCCACCCTTTACCAGAGGGAGAGAAAAACAGCTCTCGTCCACAAATTCTCCTTCCAGGGGGAATGTGGGCGTCCCAGTCTGCCTTAAGGGAGGTATTCTTCCCTTAACCCCTTCTCTAAACCTGGAAACTGGTAAGGGGCCTGGGAAAGGGGCGGATTAAGAAAACAACGAGCTCATTTCAGATGTGAAAGCCCCAGATCTTCATCCTCATGCACCAAACATGCTTTGAGCACCTGCCATGGCCAGGCTCTGAGCACACATCACCTAGCAGAGATGCAAGACACAAGTGGACACTGCCTTTGTTAATACACTGAACTGACGGGGCCATTTTCATAGGACACAGCTCAGAGGTGCCATCTGGGGCTGCACCTGTCTTCTCTAATATGCATCTTGAATCCAAATTCTCCTGTCCTGGGAGGGAATGCCATTACCAGAGGAAAAAGAAATGGATCCTGGGCAGGCAGAAGCAGCACAAGCCCTCCTTGCAGGGAAATGGATTTCCAGGCAGAGGAGACAGCACGGGCTCAGCGATAGGAAATGGCTTGGAATGTTTGGTATAAGATTTGAAGCTGGGATCAGGTGAGGCGAGATGGCTAGGACTGGGCTACATTCAGACCACAAAATGGTAGGTCAGAGGACTTGGACTCTGTCCCGAGAGCAATCAGATCGAAGCTGGAAAGTGAGATAAGCATATCTGCAGTTAGATCGCAACCATTGCAGGAAGATGTATCTGAGGGGCCAGGGAGTGGCTTCAGGGGAGACCAGGAGGAGGCTGAAGCAAGAGAGGGCTTGAACGTTGGTCATGGCAGGGGGTTGGAGAGAAGGGATGCGAGCATCTGCAAAGGCTTGGAGGGCAGATGGAGCCTGATGGGTAGAAAGAGTTGGGTGTGACTGGGGGGGTAGGGAGACGGGGTGGATGGCAAAGAGAATCTCACCCTCATCTGGTAGTGACCTATCTATCTGGCTACACTTTATCCTTGCCTGGCAAGCCTAGGACTATGTTTGGGTGATTTCCTCAAATCAGGTGCTGCTGTCAGTGTATAACGAGTCATCAACACTGGCTGGTAGTGAGAAGGGAACGTGCATTGACTGAGTGCCCTTGCTCAGCACACATAGATCTCTTTC